AGTTCAGATCTGATCTGAAACTAATCGACAGTTCTGAATTTTTAGGGTGAACCCAGTTCAGATCTGATCTGAAACTAATCGACAGTTCTGAATTTTTAGGGTGAACCCAGTTCAGATCTGATCTGAAACCAATCGACAGTTCTGAATTTTAGGGTTTTCTCTCAAAACCCTGAAGAGAAAAAAGTTTCAGCCGCACCTCTCAGAATAGACCAAGATGGTTCTTTCAAGGTTGTTCTCAAGCAAAAACTTACTTTGTGAAAGAAGATCTCTGGCCGTTGCCTTCTGTCTGATGCGAAACCCTAATCTTGGGGATCCGAAGCCTTTTCTAATTCTTCCTGACTAATGGAATTCTCTCAGCCTTCTACAATCTTCTTAGTAGTAGCCGCACACTACCAATAGCTTCCAAGAATCAACTGATCCTCCTTCTTAGTCTCCCAGCCCTAGGCAACTCTCATGTGGTTGGCTGGATCAGACTCACATGAGAAACCCTAATCCTTGCTCTGATACCAAGTAGTCGATCAAGACTACAATTAGTCTTGAATCCGAAAGTAAAAGAAAAGATTACAGAAGGAGAAAAGAAGAAGAAAAGAGGGAGAAAAACACATGAAGGGTTTTAGAAAAAGGAGAGAGAGGGTCGAATTATTCTAATCTGCCGACCCACTCTTAATATTTATATTTTACTAATTGTAAAAAGGCTGAATTGCCCTTATTGCTTACATGGCAAATAAACTAATAATAAAGCTGAAATAACAAGCTGTAACAACAAAACTGAAATAACTACAAACTAACACTGACATAACTAACAAAGAATACATGCTGTGTTGCCATACGAACATAGTGGGGACCACAGCCGTGGGGTTCACATCAATGTTCTCTACACATGTTACCTATAGTAATGAATTCTATCTCATTTTAAAATTACAGTGTTGTGAATTACCAAATGCTACTTTCTGGAAAATCTGTGTGGATCTGGGGGATGGTAGGCAGACTGAGAAGTGTCAACCATTTCCTCTCCTCGATCAAATATCTGGGTATGACATCTGTGGTGCTGCCACCTCTGAAGGACTAAATATATGAAGTAAGCCTGCAGCTCATGTTTGTTTTCTTTTTTGTTCCGGTTTTACTTCCTTTGTGTTTGTTATGTAGCATACTCACTGAACCACCAATACCTTCCATACTGTCATCTTTGTCTACTGGTGCCTGCATGACAGTCCCATCATATGATTTTGGCTCCAAAAGGTCATCCAGATTCTTGTTCTCTCATTTCCATCTGCAAGTCAGAAAATAAGGTGGGTAGAGTATCCTTCAGATCAGTTGGCAAAGATGCCAATATATTATTATATTATTAAAAGTGACAGTGAAATTTTCAATTTCTTGAACATTGCTAAATAGCCAGTGCCAGCTGTGCCAGGTATTTCATTCATGATCCCTTTTTCCTTTTCCCTCAAATATTATGTGATTCATAGTTCCATGAGCTGTAGAATTGGTATCTTCTAATCAAATAGGAAGTTGTTCGTTGCTTTAGCTGTAAATATATATTTTTCTGATTTTTGCAATGTTATGGCCATTGCACTCTGACATTTTTTCTTTGGTACCTGGTATATTCAGGAGGGGTGAACATGGGTCGGTTCGGTTTGATTCCATGGCAGAACCTAGAACCTACCCTGTAGGGGTTGGTTCCAGGATTTTGGAACTGGAACCTACCATGTGAAGGTCGGATCTGGCCTTGGTGTTTCCGGGGTTGGTTGCAAGGTCTATATGTGGAACCTATTCTTTCTTTACTCTCCCCCTTCAAGAAAAAAAATGAAATATGTCCTTCAAAAACTTGATTTTCAATAATGATAATATATAGTTTAAAACTTATATCGTCTTTATTGATTAAACTGAGTAATTTAATATGTAGAATATCATAATATATTAATATATGGTTGAAAAATTGTCATTATGTTTTAAATTTTGTAAATATTACCTTTTACATAATTTATTATACACATACAAATATTAAAATGAAAACAAATGATCAAATCACTTAAGTAACTCAATGGTCAAGTGAGACCATGGCTTTTGTAACCATGAGTGCTTGGGTTCAAATCTTCACATCCTTAAAATTATTTTGGGGTTTATTTCAAAGCAACTTCGGTTCCGAGGTTGGTTCATCGGGTCGGTTCAGATGGGGTAAACCCCTAGACCCTGGAATCGACCTAGGTGGGGATCGGTTCCAAGGATTTGGAACCAGACCCTACCTTGTAACAGATCGGGTGGGGTCGGTTCAAGGCCGGTTCGAGGTTGGTTCCATTTGGTTCTGGGTAGAACCTACCCATTTGCTCACCCCTAATATTCAGCTATTGTAGTTAGAGATGAGGTTGGAGTATTCGTAGAGATAGCTGACAAGGTCTTTGCCATTGCTACCATAACCTCATTGAGGTGCATTTCTAGAATTTCAATCTTTTTGTTTGGCATTTTCTGCTTGTAGTTGTCCACTTTTACATTATAATGGTCAATACAGGCTGCAGAACAAGATTATGACTTATGTGAAAGAGAATGAAAGAACTGAAAAACTCTCAGGTGGTGTTGCAGTCATTCAGGTAGATCTCTTAAACATGAATAGAGCTTTTAGTTGCACATGCAACACATCTGCCCCACGACTAGTAAATATTCAAAATTGCCATGCACACTTTGTAATTTGAATTCTAAAACATGATAAACCATTAATTTGGAGATTTGGGAATTAGAAAATTAAAATTGTTTAATGCAGCCCTCCTTAGTAAGTGGATTTGGTACTGAAAAGAACTCTTGGTGGAGAAGCCTAATTGCAGCCAAGTTTGGGGTGAACTGGGGTAATTGGTGTTCTCAAGCCCCCCTTCCAAATTGGGGCTGTTCTATTTGGAAAGGAATCATAAAATGTTTTCCCTTTTACTCTGAAGGGATGGGGTTCAAGATTGGCTAAGGCAATAGGTTAAAGTTTTAGAAAGACCCATGGTGTATGGACAGTACCTTGGCCGAAGCTTTCCCTCTCCTCTTTCAGTGTGCAGCTAATCAAGATGTCTCAGTGGCTGATTCCTATGTCTTTTCTGAAAATTCAGTAGTCTGGGTCCCTTAGTTCAGAAGAAACTTGTTTGACCAGGAGTTTGGTGAAGTGTTGGAGTTGCTGAACCTTTTATAGAGGCAGGAAATTGACATCAGCAAGGAGGATGAGTGGTGTTGGAACCTTTTCGGATTTCCCTAGTAAGCAGATTTGGAATCCTACATCTCCCTCAAAAGTAAATTTCTGGTTTGGACTATGACTTTAGATAAATGTCTCACTAGAACAAGTCTAGAGAGAATGGCCTGCAACTCTTGGATTTGTCTTGTGGCCTCTGTGGTCTAGTGCCTGAAACCACAGATCATCTGAGTATCCACTGTTCTGTCACTTCCAAGGTGTGGAAGCTAATACATTCTGCTGTTAGTAAACTGATATCTTGGGTCTTCGTAAAATCTTAGTTCAAAAACCTGAATGTGCCTGAGTTGTTAAGATCCCATTCCATTTGGAGTCTGTAAACTGATCTGCTTTCCTAGCCAATCTCAGTGTGGCTAGGGGACTGTTGTATGATTTGCTTGCTGTTTCTAATAAAATTTTATCTTACCTTTCAAAAAGAAAAAAAAAACATAAATTTTCCAAACATTAGAAGCAACCCATTTTATTTGGCCAAACTGTCCGTGCAAGTCTTGAAACATTTAGGCTAAGTTCTGATTTTGTTTTCCTTTTGCTAGGCATATTACAGTCTAAGTAGAAGACATGGCTGACCTGCCTACAATCTTCCACAATAAATTTGCTTGTCTTAAAGAATAGGAAAAGAGATAAAATTAGGATAAATTAAGATGTGTAATGCAATCAATGAAAACTCTTTGAAATCTTGGCATGGAATCAAGTCTTCTAATACTTGAAAGGATATGTACACCAGGTAGGAATATGCCAACTCTTTGAAAGTCTGGTTTTGATCCACGAACTAGTTCATAGATACTTGCTATGATACACTAGGTAGGAATATGCCAAAAAAGTGAAGTATTGATTTTGTTTCAGCGCAGTGCATTTTCTAGAGATGTTGAATTGGCTGTATATTTCCATGCACTTGAAGAGATGCTGCTATCTTAGTATGTATATGCTTGCAGAGTTTATAGCTATCTAGTTTAAGTCTAGCATTACTAGATTAACATGGAAAAATGATAAATTGTATATGCAGCAAGGTTGTGTAAACTTCTCTTGGTTTCCAAAACAAGTTTAAATTCAGTTATAGCTCAGTATAATGTGGGCATATATCTATTAGTTGGTGCTTTTACATGCAGTTTGAATGAAATAATAAAGCACTATTTATGTGTTTTGATTCCTGTGATAAAGCCTTCTTCCTTCTCTTTGTAGTCTGTATACCTGAGTGGAATAACTGAAGAAACCCCACCTGTTCAACTCTAGAGGAAACAGAGCCTCTTCCTGGAGATACCCTCAAGAATGGATTTCGTGACAATATGAAGTCCCACTCCAACAAGAGTAAATTTTCCGTCAATACCTAGCCCTGCTTCAGCAAGAATTTAGGCTCAGTTTGGAAAGAGTACAAATGCAAATATGTACAGTGTAAATACATACAAAATATAAGGTTTTGCACTCTACATATTTGCATTTGTACTGCTTCCAAACTCAGCCTTATGGATCCCCAGGTCTGTCCTCATCTATAGGTAAATCAACAACAAAAAAGCCTCCCACCACATTTAAGCTGCAAGATTGGAGTTCAATGGCAGATATTGAAAAAGCTGCGACTCTAGCACTTGGGGCTTCACCAGCAGGCTGGGAGAAGACTTCAAATACCTGAGGTAGAGGCTTGATATTTATGTTGTTTCTATTAATATTTTTAGCTTCTTCCTACATCTCCTTTCTTGGTAATGTTTCCATAAAAAGAAAAAAAGAATGCAAATTGGGGATTGGTTGTTGATGTAGTCATTGGTAAATGGGAATTATGCAATGGAAACAAATTTAATGTAGTTCTTATCTTGCAGATAGGAAGAAGAAAATGGAGTTTTGGTGATGCAAATAGGAAGCAATAAAAGAATCCTTGGGTAAATGGGAATTATGCAATGGAAACAAATTTAATGTAGTTCTTATCTTGCAGATAGGAAGAAGAAAATGGAGTTTTGGTGATGCAAATAGGAAGCAAGGAAAGAATCCATGGGTTCAATTCTCATTCTTGCTCATTCTTTCCCAAAATAAGTTTCTAAATCGAACAACTCCAACAGGAGTATATTTTGAAACTATCTGCTAATTTTCATTGTCTTAGTTTTGTATATATATACCAAGAAATGAAAACTAACTAGCTCTTCTTTTTTCTTCTCATGGATGTAAGTTACAACAGGTTTGTATCACGTATGACATGTTGATGTTAGCAAAATCTCATGCAAATATTTTCTGGTATTAATAAAAATCTATTTGACCAGAGTAAAAATGCTTGGACTCCTCTCTTGGGTTGAGCGTTTGTTAAATTTTGAATGGGCCTGCCCCGAGGCCTCATGTCCAATGCAATGTAAAATCTTCAAGACAGGCCGTTTAAAAGAGGACAAACACAATCCACCTATCTTTATGTAGGAAATATGTCGGGGACCCAACTGGGTCTCATATGACTCTTCCAACATATATCTGACATCTTTTCTTCAGCTACAACTCCACTAAATTACCTTCCATCCAATAATTTTTGAATGCATGGAAGCATATACTCGCCATTTTCCCTTGATATGATTCACAAGAGACAAAGTATGAGAGACAGGGAAAGCTTCTGTCCATAAAATCCTCTGAAAAACCTCCTGCAAATCCCACCTACATCAGGGTTGGGGGGAGGGGAGGTTATGGGTTTGGGACATGGGCTACCCCAGTTGTGTAGCCCCATGAAACAGAAATTAAAAAGAAGATTAGAAGCCCCATTTCTGAGTTAGAATGTGAGACTTTACAAGAAACCTCTTTGAAGTGAAGGTGAAAAATTGGAGGAAATCAAACTGGCTATTACATGTTTGTTGCATTTCACAACAGTCAGTTTGGTTTCCTCCAATTCTCACATCCAATATCCACAACTATGATTTCCAGTTTTCATGATCTCTTGAAGACAAAGTATAGGAGGAAAATGAACTACTTCTAATAGTTTGAAGATACCTGATTCAGTTCCCTCTAATTCTTGCATCCAAGACCACATTACCAGAAATGGTTTGGTTTCCTCCAATTCTCACATTCAAGATCCATGTCTACATTTCTCAGAAGCCCTTGGAATATTGGAGAAAGACCAAACCGACTCATTTGCAAACTTCAAAATAGAGGTAAGGTTTCCTCCAATTCTCACATCCAAGACCCACGTTCAGGCTTACTGGAGGCGGAGGGAATAAGAAATTTGGTTAGTTTTCCTTCAAGTTAACGGTCAAATTTCGGGGCCATTCCCCGTAGAAAGCCTAGAGTAGAGCGTCCATTTATACAGTGATTGGTTGTTTCTCTCCCCATGTAAAGTGTATTGCTCCAAACATGTAATGTGCCTAATTTGGTACAGCTTCTGATTTCATGTCAATTCTGTGATATTCCTTGAAACTGAATTGTACCTTGGTGGTTATGAGATAATTGTACTGCTTGGGAGTTGGAACTTTGTCAAGAAATGTTAAATCCATGGAAGTTTCTAATATTCCAAGTACAGGTTCAATAATTGAAACCCGATTTAATGGTGCTTTACTCCTAAATGAACCACACAAACATTTGGATGACTTGGATCGACTACTTCATGGTACTTTCATAGGTTTGAAATTCGAATAATATTCAACTTAACTCTTCCTTAATCCCCATTATTTGGAGTAGGGCTCTGGAATTCCTGGTTGAATTGCATTCCTCCATTTGAGAGCATGGCCATTCCTTCCCCCTTTCTTGGGAATGAAATTGCATTCCAACTGATTTCAATTCCCATTCCGGTTCCTGTCTGAACCAGACTATGGGATAGAACATTCTGATTCTGATTCCGATTCTGAGAAATTTCAATTCCAATTATGAACCAAACGGACCCAATATGTTTCCTATCAGATTGTATGCCTTCAAACCAATATTTTTCAAACAAACAACAAAGATGTTCAAAAATGAGTTTTTTTCTGGAATTAGGAAAGACAACAGGGTGGGGCAGGGATGTGAGAGTCTGGATCTGCTCCTCACACTGATCTCACAACACGTCTCAACCGCACATCGAGAATGTCTCTTGTACTTGTGTTTTATTATTCATGAGAGATGCTTCCAATACATGGTGGGATGTGCCCATGAGGTCGGTGTGAGGTGCGGTCTATGAGGAGCAAATCCCAATTCGGGATGGGAAGGCCCATCCCCATCCCTGCAAAAATTCCTATCCTTGTCCTCATCCCTGTTCATGCCAGCAGGGACAAGGTTATCCCCATGGATCCCGATCCCCGCGGGGATCCCCACTCCTCATCCCCGTCCCCACAAGACTAGTGGTGCAATTTGGGTGGGCTCGGGTTGGAGAATGGTTAAAATTTCAATGGGCCTGCCCGAAAGCCCAGGCCCGATGCAATATAAACTTTTCAAATCTTGTACTAACTTGCACCCCTAGACTTATTTCTGATTAGTGTCAAGAAAAGGGAAAAGCGGAGCAAGATGGTTTGGTTACATAGAGGACTGATAATGATTTCACAAATGCAAAGTTGGAAACATAACTCGGTAAGGCTCTAAAAGAATGTAAGGAAGACAAAAAGAAAACTTGGTCCGTAAGTGGTAGAAAATGTTTTAATGACATCTAATTGAACATAGAAAGCAGTTACAATTTCAAAGCCAGTAAATGACTAAATCTGTTCATGGGCTGGGCTCACGTTGAGCTTTTGCCAAATTTGAATGGGCCCAGCCTAAAGCCCGGACCCAAAGCAGTGTAAAATGTTATTGGGCTAAGGTTTGATGTGCGAATTTCATTTTCACTAATATAAATGTAGAGGAGTGCAAATGGGTTGAGTGCAAAATTTGGCTTTTGCTTGAGATTTGACTGTCTTGTATGTTTGTGATTGTGAGAAGTAAAATGGCAAGACCCCCACTAGTTTTTGCATTAGTTTTTTAGGCTCCATTTTGGAAGTGTACAAATACTGAGCCTATGCGTATGAATTGTATATATTTGTATTTACACTTTTCCCAAATGGAGCCTTGGATGCAAAATCATTGCCAAGTAGCACGATACTAATGAGGCAAAAGTGCAAAATAGACCTTAGTCATAAACAAATGGATACAAAGCTGATCCAAGTGCAAAATCTATATCTAGAAGGGTTCTAGTGACTCATGAATCATGAGAGTATGTTCAAAATCGAGAGTGGATTTAATAAGAACACCCTTGTAAACACACTAGTAAGCATTCAATAAATATTTTGCAGTTGTCTTTTCAAATTTTTGCTTTGAATCATTTCAAAGGTAGATTAGGAGTATTTATAAGACAGGCGTCATAAAATTTAGTGGTTAGTCAATGTGCTCACTGAGCGTGCCTACCTGATCTAGGATCAATTGCTCTTTTGGGCAGAAAGGGAAAGGAAAACAAGAGCTACCATAAAGGGGAGAATAGAAAGAAAAATAATGAAAATACTGACACCAATTAATGTGGCTAAAATTTTTGATATTACACCCTTTTGCATTTGTACCCTTCCATTTTTGAGTTGGAACTGCCTAAAGTTGTAATTAGTAATTAGTACTACAATCACATGTATAATTCTCTCCTTTTTTCCCCTATTAGGTAAATGAGCTACACAATTGTCCAGAACTACAACTGACTAGAGACTTTAAAACAATCTAACTGACACCTTTCAATCATCTATGCTATATAAAGCAAATACTTTCATTGGGTTCTATGTAAGTTAAGTTCAAATACTATATATCATATATGATTAATACTTTCTTCAACACATGCATATCACTTAATCTTGTACTAATTTATGTAAATTAACTCTTTGCACAAAAGTCCCCATTTACCAAATTCACGTGGCATATCATAATTGGTGTAGTATACCCCCTTCTTCCATAGATGATTTGGAGTCTTTCATTTGGACTGTATTTGTTTTGATAGAGATCAAGAGACATTTCTCAAGCCCAGTTTGGACTTTGGAAGGAATACTGTAAATATTTGTAGTTGTACTCTTTCTAAATTGAGCGTAAGAAAGTTTCCCTCAAATTCTCTCTCTCTCTCTCTAATTTATAACATAGGCTTAGGGTAGGCAGATAACAGCATCACAAGCCTCTTGAATCAAAGAGGGGCCAGATACAAACTTATTAACATAGTTCAAAATGTCGACATGTGGTTCAATCATTCAAAGGGCTCATATTCATATATATATACTTTAATTTTTAATTGGTGGATTTGAGTGAATTTTGCATTGGACATGGGGCAAAACAGGCTATGTCCTCCTCTGTTTATTCTAATTTTTTGTTTAATAATAGTTAATAAAATTTGAGGTGGTCGCAAAGTCTGCGGCTTCAAAAAAAGAACTAGTGATTTGACATCTTCGTGATGGGCTTAAGGCCCACTAGGACACTAGTAGAATTCCCTTTCAGGTACACACGTATTTGGGGTTATGATTAGGTAAAGGGCTCCTCAATCCCTTGCATTATTTTGCATGTCACCAAATATTTTCTAAATTCTTCACACGCCCTGATCTGCCACAGAAAACCACTCTTTGACACTGCCTAATATATAATTTTTGTGTTTTTTATTTTTTAATCTAAGGTTTTGTTTGATATTACCCATAAAATAAAAAAAAAAAATTGATTAATTTCCTAAAAGCTGCTATTCTCTTGTTGAAAACAATTTTTCAAAAAGGGAGTCGTAATTTTGGAAAAATGAATTCCCTCCAACCTTCTTCTATCTTTATTTTATTTCTCAGGTTAAGGGAATACGTTGAAATGGTGAAACAGATTCATTAACGTAGCCGACCCCATATAGTTGGGAGTTTGACAAGGCTTAGGTGAGTGATGACGATGGTCTATTTATTTTTCATATTGAAAATCATTTTTTCAAGAAAATTATTCATTCTCTGTTTTTCACATGTGACCAAAGGCAGCGTAAGATGAAAAATCATGTCTTTTATTTATTTATTTCTTCAGAGCATAGAAACTCTGCTTTGGAGAACCTATTACAAAAAGCTTCATTCGATGGAATTGGAAGCCCTCTTTTTTTGTTGGAGGACTGCGTACCTGTAAATATGAACTTTCTGGACTTTTCACCGAAAAGTTTATTCGAGACCGAATCTACTGATCACAACATGCTACAGGCGTCCATCGGGAACATATTCTACTTTATATGCTGTAATTCATGGAAGATAGATACCCCCTATTGTGCG